CGGCGTCATTGGCCTTGACATATTGAATAGTGTACCTTATTCAATATGTCAAGGCCTCTATTGATTTAAAATCAAACACAATTAATCATGACAATGGAAAGGAAACTGTTTTATTCATAACTAGACAGGACTTTAATCATCTGCAACTTCAGGCCAAGTCGGTACCAAACCATTTGAAAGAAGCATTTTCAAGGTATTTAAAAATGTTAATGGAGTGTTTGCAGATCCCAATGAGGCACTTCCATACAATACAAACGTCTATGCGACGAACCGCACAGAAGACCCAGTGTACTCGAGATTGTACCCGTATCCTTTAGGTTTTTCGGATTTAGTAAAAAAAGAAATCCAGAACTCATTGGCGAATGGTATTATTTGAAAGTCTAGGTCTCCATACAATAACCCAATGTGCGTAATAAAGAAAAAGGGTCTTGACGAAACTGGACAAGAGAAAAAAAGTTTGGTGATAGATTTCCGAAAACTTAATGAGAAAACTATCAGCAAGAAATATTCGATTCAAGAAATCACGGAAACCTTGTCCAATCTTGGAGGAAGTAAATTTTTTACCACAATTGACTTGAAATCTGGGTTTCACCAGATAAAACCATCAGAACCACTGCGTTTTCCATAAAAACGGAAAATACGAGTTTTGTAGACTGTCCTTCGGTCTGAAGAATGCTCCAAGCATTTTTCAGAGGGCGATACGTGACGTGTTAAGAGAACACATCGGGACGAGGTGTTTCGTCTACGTGGATGATGTAATCATATTCTCGAAAAACGAGCAACAACACTTACAAGATGTGGAATTAGTACTGAGAAGTCTATTCGAAGCCAATATGAGGGTTTCGGCTGAAAAATCAAAATCCTTCCAAACTGAGGTTGAATATTTAGGATTTCTTCCCTGCCAGATCAGAAGTGATAAAGCAAACACGTTTAGTAACAAATGAAAAAACAGTACTAGTGCCAAATCATGCAATTCAACCAGGAATATTCATAGCTAGCACAATAGTAGAAAGTGATGTAGCTTTTATAAGAATAATAAATACAACTAAAGATGATGTCACATTAAACAGTAAAAATATTATATTTGAATCATTAGAAAATTATGATATATAGTAGCGGAAAGTCAATAAATAGATAAAAGAACTAAAGAAGTTCAAAGTAAATTAAAATTTCCTTTTCTTTTTAAAGAAGGCCTCAAAAATCTCTGTGCTGATTTCAGCGACATTTTCGGTATTGACACCTATAACATAACCTATAACATCAAATAACTTCTACAAAACAAAAACTTAGATTGAGTGACAAAACACACAGAGACTCCACGCTTCTTTGGAAGAACCTTTCAGTGCATCCCTCAATCTAATTATGTTGTGCAGGTTGGAGTAACCAAACTCCATAGTTGTGATTTCAAAAGACTCATGAAACGTGAGCCATTCTTCTGGCAATCCCGTAAAGGTAGGCAATGGATATATCTTCTCCTGGAGTGAATTCAAAATGGCGTCGACATTGGCAGAATTACCAAGCAGAGACTCTACGGCTTCTTTGGCAGAACCTTTCAGTGCATCCCTCAATCTCATTATGTTGTGCAGGTTGGAGTAACCAAACTCCATAGTTGTGATTTCAAAAGACTCATGAAACGTGAGCCATTCTTCTGGCAATCCCGTAAAGGTAGGCAATGGGTATATCTTTATGTGTGGAATGGACGTTGAGTTGTTGGCTGTGGAATTGTGGACGGACATTTCTGAGGTTACGGAAATTTGGTGAGTTGGTGCGTGAGATGGCGTATTCTCAGGATGTGATGGTAGCTTTTGCTGGCAAGATTGTGGCGGTTTATGAAGTGGGTGTTGGCTTAATTGTGGCGGTTATTGTTGTGACGGTGTTGACTGATTATGCTGCAATGGATGGATGGTGGACTCAGAGTATGGCATTCATACAGTAATTATTAACTACCTCTGCGACTGCATCAGTATGAATGCTATTCAGACCCGCTTGATAGGCTTCATGATCTAGGGGCTCTCTCTTATATCGCTGGACCTCTCTCTCTAGATCGTGCAGGTCCTTCATGACACGCCTGGGTGGGGGAGTTCTATCCTCCATATGGTGGTTAGGGTGACTCCCACGATAACACCCAAGCAGGTATTGCAACGAAAGCATATGATTATGCTGACGTAAGGGAAGAACTTTCGTCTCCTCATGTAAATGGTCCACAGGAGTCATGAGGAGGCACCTGAAACAGTTCTCAGGGCGGCATTCTGGCAGGTCTGAATGCTTTTCCACTGCGTTGCACTTGTATTCGCCGACCACACTGGAGCCGCATAGCTAACCACAGACCGACCTATCGCTTTATAAGAAGTCAACAAGGTTTCCTTATCCGCACCCCAAGTGCTGCCGGCTAGCGCCTTGAGGACCTTGTTCCTACTTTTTATTTTATCGCAAGTAGCTGTGGCTTGCGCGGAAGACTTGAACATGCTATCGAATGTGACCCCAAGGATTTTGGGGTAGTTGGTGGTCGGAATTATATGCCCCTCGACCTGCACATTCAGCTGTGTTCTCATCTCCGCAGTCCATGTGGTAAATTGTGTGGCCGTCGATTTAGTGGCGGATATTTTCATATTCCTCGCGTGGAAAGGCTAATTGTGAAAACATTTGAGTGACTAATTGTTATGGCATTTGAATGGCGGTTTCTAATAATTGTCTCTTCATTTGCGTGGCTAATGTTGACTGTATTTGCGTGGCTTGTTGTAATTGCATTTGCTTTGAATTATCAAGAAATTGTGTTTGCATTGCCTGAATATGTTTTTGCATCGCTGTTATTTGCATCTTCATTTGATTTTTTAAATCGCAGATTTCGTTTGTGGATTTGTAGGTTGTGGCTGGTGAATTTGTGGTAGTTTTTTTGGTAGTAGTTGAGCAAGCAGCTGATTTGTGTTATTTGTGCAAGACATACTGACCGAAGCTGTATTATCAGGTTCGTTTTGGAGGCTGTCAGACGGCGTATTAAATTTTAGCGAATGAGCGATGGACATTTCGTAAGTGTCTGGATCAAAACGAGCTGGTGGAATTCTTCGGGTGCTCCGGCTGCTTGTTCTTCTTGACTCTCTCTCGTTCCGGAGAAAATCGGTATTCTTGTACAGCATTTTTTTTTTTTTTTTTTTTTCAAAAAACCGTAAAAATGGAAAATGCACCCATTATGAGGTATATATCGATTTTGTAGAACCGGATAAAAGCCAGATTTTGTATTCAAATTTTCGGATGAAATAACTAGGTATTTCCCTACGAAAAATTACTTTGCAGCAATCAGGTTCAAATAGTTACCTGTTATATAAAATTTAAAATGATCCATGCAAACCTTTAAATCTGACTTGCTTCAAAATTATTACTGACAATGAGTTGTTTGTTCTTTAACAAATTTCAAATGTTTTTCTTCATAAATTGTTTACAATGTCACAACTTTCTTGAGTTCGCTGTCCTTTCAAATCGCTGAATAGTTATGTAAACTCTCGGCACATTGTGGCACAACTACATAAGGTAAAAAAAGCTACCTCCAAAATATTTTTTTTCTATTCTATCAAAACATTTACACAGTTTGTATGTGTGTGTTGTTTTGAATAAATAAAAAAATATGAATTATTTTCAAATCTAGGCAACAGATAATAATTTTTATAATTTTTGGATAAAATAAAAATTTCCCTCTATCTTCGATTGAATTGAAATTTGTAAAAATAATTAAAAAAAAAAACAAAACAATGTTGCATATTCAAAAATTTTATTTGACACAAGACGACTTAGATACAGAGTCCCATTTTCCTAGTTTCTTTGCAGTTAGGAATCTTTTTTTAATTAGCCATGATACATGATTTCAGGTAAGTGCATCAACGCTTGGGGACTTGGGATTTTTGCAAATTTGAATAATTTTTCATTAAAAAATTTTAATACCATAATTGGTTTGACAGTTCATTGTCCCAGCAGCTGTGTCAATACGTCTACCTCATGGTAGAAGAATATAGGTAGACGCGTCGACACAGCTGCTGGGACAATGAACTGTCAAACCAATTTTGGAATTGATAATATTGATAGAAAAATTATTCAAATTTGTAAAAATTGTTGAAAACGCGAATAAGTAGTTTTTCGATAGTTGTGATAGTTATTGGCCTAATGGCTTTTTCATCGCAACATATAAATAAATAAATGTAATTATAATAACCTCCGAATGACGTCGTGTAAGAAAGCATAAAAATCTACTTATATTTGCAAAAACATTTACATTTTTTGACATATCAATGTTCCCAAGAGTGCATCTACCTGTATTCTTCTACCATGGTCTACCTGTATTCTTACACCATGGTAACATGTAACTGTGATTCATGACAGTTGTGTGTGAACACTTCGTAAACATACGTGCGGCATATTTTAGGTAGACCTGTTATATGAGCCCATTTCCTTAATAAGTTAAATGTTAACTTAGGTATTCCTAACTGACGGATATTGGAAATACGGAATGTTGACTGATCTTCTGAATAGCTTATCGACGAATCCTTATTTTGGCGCCGGCTTTGGCCTTTTTGGAGTCGGAGCAGGTGCGGCGATTCTTCGCAAAGGCCTACAAGGGAGTATTGTATTATTCAGACGACATCTTATGATTACATTGGAAGTACCGTGCCGTGATAAATCGTATCAATGGTTGTTGCAATGGATAACAGCTCACGCTGCTCGTGACACGCAACACCTAAGTGTTGAGACTTCAACCATTATGTATACGGCTATGGGCTCTGAATGGAGGCATTCGGACATCCGCGAAGGCGCCGCCCATTGTATTCGGTTGTATTAGATAAACAAATATCAATGCGAATTATCAGTGACTGCAAGGAATTTATTAACAACCCCCAATGGTATGCAGACAGAGGAATACCATATAGAAGAGGATATTTATTATATGGTCCCCCTGGTTGTGGGAAGTCAAGCTTCATTACTGCTTTGGCAGGAGAACTAGAATATGGCATGTGTTTACTTAACTTGTCAGAGAGAGGATTAACTGACGATAGATTGAACCATTTATTAAATGTTGCTCCGGAACAGTCTATAATATTACTTGAGGACATTGATGCAGCCTTCGCGTCCCGTGAAGATGTGCAGCACCAAAAAGCATCCCTCAATCTAATTATGTTGTGCAGGTTGGAGTAACCAAACTCCATAGTTGTGATTTCAAAAGACTCATGAAACGTGAGCCATTCTTCTGACAATCCCGTAATGGTAGGCAATGGATATATCTTCTCCTGGAGTGAATTCAAAATGGCGTCGACATTGGCAGAATTACCAAGCAGAGACTCTACGGCTTCTTTGGCAGAACCTTTCAGTGCATCCCTCAATCTCATTATGTTGTGCAGGTTGGAGTAACCAAACTCCATAGTTGTGATTTCAAAAGACTCATGAAACGTGAGCCATTCTTCTGGCAATCCCGTAAAGGTAGGCAATGGGTATATCTTTATGTGTGGAATGGACGTTGAGTTGTTGGCTGTGGAATTGTGGACGGACATTTCTGAGGTTACGGAAATTTGGTGAGTTGGTGCGTGAGATGGCGTATTCTCAGGATGTGATGGTAGCTGTTGCTGGCAAGATTGTGGCGGTTAATGAAGTGGCTGTTGTTGGCTTAATTGTGGCGGTTATTGTTGTGACGGTGTTGACTGATTATGCTGCAATGGATGGATGGTGGACTCAGAGTATGGCATTCATACTGTAATTATTAACTACCTCTGCGACTGCATCAGTATGAATGCTATTCAGACCCGCTTGATAGGCTTCATGATCTAGGGGCTCTCTCTTATATCGCTGGACCTCTCTCTCTAGATCGTGCAGGTCCTTCATGACACGCCTGGGTGGGGGAGTTCTATCCTCCATATGGTGGTTAGGGTGACTCCCACGATAACACCCAAGCAGGTATTGCAACGAAAGCATATGATTATGCTGACGTAAGGGAAGAACCTTCGTCTCCTCATGTAAATGGTCCACAGGAGTCATGAGGAGGCACCTGAAACAGTTCTCAGGGCGGCATTCTGGCAGGTCTGAATGCTTTTCCACTGCGTTGCACTTGTATTCGCCGACCACACTGGAGCCGCATAGCTAACCACAGACCGACCTATCGCTTTATAAGAAGTCAACAAGGTTTCCTTATCCGCACCCCAAGTGCTGCCGGCTAGCGCCTTGAGGACCTTGTTCCTACTTTTTATTTTATCGCAAGTAGCTGTGGCTTGCGCGGAAGACTTGAACATACTATCGAATGTGACCCCAAGGATTTTGGGGTAGTTGGTGGTCGGAATTATATGCCCCTCGACCTGCACATTCAGCTGTGTTCTCATCTCCGCAGTCCATGTGGTAAATTGTGTGGCCGTCTATTTAGTGGCGGATATTTTCATATTCCTCGCGTGGAAAGGCTAATTGTGAAAACATTTGAGTGACTAATTGTTATGGCATTTGAATGGCGGTTTCTAATAATTGTCTCTTCATTTGCGTGGCTAATGTTGACTGTATTTGCGTGGCTTGTTGTAATTGTATTTGCTTTGAATTATCAAGAAATTGTGTTTGCATTGCCTGAATTTGTTTTTGCATCGCTGTTATTTGCATCTTCATTTGATTTTTTAAATCGCAGATTTCGTTTGTGGATTTGTAGGTTGTGGCTGGTGAATTTGTGGTAGTTTTTTTGGTAGTAGTTGAGCAAGCAGCTGATTTGTGTTATTTGTGCAAGACATACTGACCGAAGCTGTATTTTCAGGTTCGTTTTGGAGGCTGTCAGACGGCGTATTAAATTTTGGCGAATGAGCGATGGACATTTCGTAAGTGTCTGGATCAAAACGAGCTGGTGGAATTCTTCGGGTGCTTCGGCTACTTGTTCTTCTTGACTCTCTCTCGTTCCGGAGAAAATCGGTATTCTTGTACAGCATTTTTTTTTTTCAAAAAACCGTAAAAATGGAAAATGCACCCATTATGAGGTATATATCGATTTTGTAGAACCGGATAAAAGCCAGATTTTGTATTCAAATTTTCGGATGAATTAACTAGGTATTTCCCTACGAAAAATTACTTTGCAGCAATCAGGTTCAAATAGTTACCTGTTATATAAAATTTAAAATGATCCATGCAAACCTTTAAATCTGACTTGCTTCAAAATTATTACTGACAATGAGTTGTTTGTTCTTTAACAAATTTCAAATGTTTTTCTTCATAAATTGTTTACAATGTCATAACTTTCTTGAGTTCGCTGTCCTTTCAAATCGCTTAATAGTTATATAAACTCTCGGCAGATTGTGGCACATCTACAGAAAGTAAAAAAAGCTACCTCCAAAATTTTTTTTTCTATTCTATCAAAACATTTACACAGTTTGTATGTGTGTGTTGTTTTGAATAAATAAAAAAATATGAATTATTTTCAAATCTAGGCAACAGATAATAATTTTTATAATTTTTGGATAAAATAAAAATTTCCCTCTATCTTCGATTGAATTGAAATTTGTAAAAATAATTAAAAAAAAAAACAAAACAATGTTGCATATTCAAAAATTTTATTTGACACAAGACGACTTAGATACAGAGTCCCATTTTCCTAGTTTCTTTGCAGTTAGGAATCTTTTTTTAATTAGCCATGATACATGATTTCAGGTAAGTGCATCAACGCTTGGGGACTTGGGATTTTTGCAAATTTGAATAATTTTTCATTAAAAAATTTTAATACCATAATTGGTTTGACAGTTCATTGTCCCAGCAGCTGTGTCAATACGTCTACCTCATGGTAGAAGAATATAGGTAGACGCGTCGACACAGCTGCTGGGACAATGAACTGTCAAACCAATTTTGGAATTGATAATATTGATAGAAAAATTATTCAAATTTGTAAAAATTGTTGAAAACGCGAATAAGTAGTTTTTCGATAGTTGTGATAGTTATTGGCCTAATGGCTTTTTCATCGCAACATATAAATAAATAAATGTAATTATAATAACCTCCGAATGACGTCGTGTAAGAAAGCATAAAAATCTACTTATATTTGCAAAAACATTTACATTTTTTGACATATCAATGTTCCCAAGAGTGCATCTACCTGTATTCTTCTACCATGGTCTACCTGTATTCTTACACCATGGTAACATGTAACTGTGATTCATGACAGTTGTGTGTGAACACTTCGTACACATACGTGCGGCATATTTTAGGTAGACCTGTTATATGAGCCCATTTCCTTAATAAGTTAAATGTTAACTTAGGTATTCCTAACTGACGGATATTGGAAATACGGAATGTTGACTGATCTTCTGAATAGCTTATCGACGAATCCTTATTTTGGCGCCGGCTTTGGCCTTTTTGGAGTCGGAGCAGGTGCGGCGATTCTTCGCAAAGGCCTACAAGGGAGTATTGTATTATTCAGACGACATCTTATGATTACATTGGAAGTACCGTGCCGTGATAAATCGTATCAATGGTTGTTGTAATGGATAACAGCTCACGCTGCTCGTGACACGCAACACCTAAGTGTTGAGACTTCATTTGTGCAAAAAGAAACTGGAAAAATTAAAACCAAGTACGATTTCATTCCCAGCATTGGAAAACATTTGATGCGTTATAAAGGAGTGTGGATGCAGGTTGAAAGGTCGAGAGAACAACAGACTTTAGATCTGCACATGGGCGTTCCTTGGGAGTCGGTAACGATAACTGCGTTTGGAAGAAACAAACAGCTTTATTTTGAAATGTTAGAGGAGGCTCGACAATATGCACTTCAAGCAACAGAAGGAAAAACCATTATGTATACGGCTATGGGCTCTGAATGGAGGCCATTCGGACATCCGCGAAGGCGCCGCCCATTGTCTTCGGTTGTATTAGATAAACAAATATCAATGCGAATTATCAGTGACTGCAAGGAATTTATTAACAACCCCCAATGGTATGCAGACAGAGGAATACCATATAGAAGAGGATATTTATTATATGGTCCCCCTGGTTGTGGGAAGTCAAGCTTCATTACTGCTTTGGCAGGAGAACTAGAATATGGCATATGTTTACTTAACTTGTCAGAGAGAGGATTAACTGACGATAGATTGAACCATTTATTAAATGTTGCTCCGGAACAGTCTATAATATTACTTGAGGACATTGATGCAGCCTTCGCGTCCCGTGAAGATGTGCAGCACCAAAAAGCATCCCTCAATCTAATTATGTTGTGCAGGTTGGAGTAACCAAACTCCATAGTTGTGATTTCAAAAGACTCATGAAACGTGAGCCATTCTTCTGGCAATCCCGTAAAGGTAGGCAATGGATATATCTTCTGGAGTGAATTCAAAATGGCGTCGACATTGGCAGAATTACCAAGCAGAGACTCTACGGCTTCTTTGGCAGAACCTTTCAGTGCATCCCTCAATCTCATTATGTTGTGCAGGTTGGAGTAACCAAACTCCATAGTTGTGATTTCAAAAGACTCATGAAACGTGAGCCATTCTTCTGGCAATCCCGTAAAGGTAGGCAATGGGTATATCTTTATGTGTGGAATGGACGTTGAGTTGTTGGCTGTGGAATTGTGGACGGACATTTCTGAGGTTACGGAAATTTGGTGAGTTGGTGCGTGAGATGGCGTATTCTCAGGATGTGATGGTAGCTGTTGCTGGCAAGATTGTGGCGGTTAATGAAGTGGCTGTTGTTGGCTTAATTGTGGCGGTTATTGTTGTGACGGTGTTGACTGATTATGCTGCAATGGATGGATGGTGGACTCAGAGTATGGCATTCATACTGTAATTATTAACTACCTCTGCGACTGCATCAGTATGAATGCTATTCAGACCCGCTTGATAGGCTTCATGATCTAGGGGCTCTCTCTTATATCGCTGGACCTCTCTCTCTAGATCGTGCAGGTCCTTCATGACACGCCTGGGTGGGGGAGTTCTATCCTCCATATGGTGGTTAGGGTGACTCCCACGATAACACCCAAGCAGGTATTGCAACGAAAGCATATGATTATGATGACGTAAGGGAAGAACCTTCGTCTCCTCATGTAAATGGTCCACAGGAGTCATGAGGAGGCACCTGAAACAGTTCTCAGGGCGGCATTCTGGCAGGTCTGAATGCTTTTCCACTGCGTTGCACTTGTATTCGCCGACCACACTGGAGCCGCATAGCTAACCACAGACCGACCTATCGCTTTATAAGAAGTCAACAAGGTTTCCTTATCCGCACCCCAAGTGCTGCCGGCTAGCGCCTTGAGGACCTTGTTCCTACTTTTTATTTTATCGCAAATAGCTGTGGCTTGCGCGGAAGACTTGAACATGCTATCGAATGTGACCCCAAGGATTTTGGGGTAGTTGGTGGTCGGAATTATATGCCCCTCGACCTGCACATTCAGCTGTGTTCTCATCTCCGCAGTCCATGTGGTAAATTGTGTGGCCGTCGATTTAGTGGCGGATATTTTCATATTCCTCGCGTGGAAAGGCTAATTGTGAAAACATTTGAGTGACTAATTGTTATGGCATTTGAATGGCGGTTTCTAATAATTGTCTCTTCATTTGCGTGGCTAATGTTGACTGTATTTGCGTGGCTTGTTGTAATTGCATTTGCTTTGAATTATCAAGAAATTGTGTTTGCATTGCCTGAATTTGTTTTTGCATCGCTGTTATTTGCATCTTCATTTGATTTTTTAAATCGCAGATTTCGTTTGTGGATTTGTAGGTTGTGGCTGGTGAATTTGTGGTAGTTTTTTTGGTAGTAGTTGAGCAAGCAGCTGATTTGTGTTATTTGTGCAAGACATACTGACCGAAGCTGTATTTTCAGGTTCGTTTTGGAGGCTGTCAGACGGCGTATTAAATTTTGGCGAATGAGCGATGGACATTTCGTAAGTGTCTGGATCAAAACGAGCTGGTGGAATTCTTCGGCTGCTTGTTCTTCTTGACTCTCTCTCGTTCCGGAGAAAATCGGTATTCTTGTACAGCATTTTTTTTTTTCAAAAAACCGTAAAAATGGAAAATGCACCCATTATGAGGTATATATCGATTTTGTAGAACCGGATAAAAGCCAGATTTTGTATTCAAATTTTCGGATGAAATAACTAGGTATTTCCCTACGAAAAATTACTTTGCAGCAATCAGGTTCAAATAGTTACCTGTTATATAAAATTTAAAATGATGCATGCAAACCTTTAAATCTGACTTGCTTCAAAATTATTACTGACAATGAGTTGTTTGTTCTTTAACAAATTTCAAATGTTTTTCTTCATAAATTGTTTACAATGTCACAACTTTCTTGAGTTCGCTGTCCTTTCAAATCGCTTAATAGTTATATAAACTCTCGGCAGATTGTGGCACAACTACAGAAAGTAAAAAAAGCTACCTCCAAAATATTTTTTTCTATTCTATCAAAACATTTACACAGTTTGTATGTGTGTGTTGTTTTGAATAAATAAAAAAAATATGAATTATTTTCAAATCTAGGCAACAGATAATAATTTTTATAATTTTTGGATAAAATAAAAATTTCCCTCTATCTTCGATTGAATTGAAATTTGTAAAAATAATTTAAAAAAAAAAAACAAAACAATGTTGCATATTCAAAAATTTTATTTGACACAAGAAGACTTAGATACAGAGTCCCATTTTCCTAGTTTCTTTGCAGTTAGGAATCTTTTTTTAATTAGCCATGATACATGATTTCAGGTAAGTGCATCAACGCTTGGGGACTTGGGATTTTTGCAAATTTGAATAATTTTTCATTAAAAAATTTTAATACCATAATTGGTTTGACAGTTCATTGTCCCAGCAGCTGTGTCAATACGTCTACCTCATGGTAGAAGAATATAGGTAGACGCGTCGACACAGCTGCTGGGACAATGAACTGTCAAACCAATTTTGGAATTGATAATATTGATAGAAAAATTATTCAAATTTGTAAAAATTGTTGAAAACGCGAATAAGTAGTTTTTCGATAGTTGTGATAGTTATTGGCCTAATGGCTTTTTCATCGCAACATATAAATAAATAAATGTAATTATAATAACCTCCGAATGACGTCGTGTAAGAAAGCATAAAAATCTACTTATATTTGCAAAAACATTTACATTTTTTGACATATCAATGTTCCCAAGAGTGCATCTACCTGTATTCTTCTACCATGGTCTACCTGTATTCTTACACCATGGTAACATGTAACTGTGATTCATGACAGTTGTGTGTGAACACTTCGTACACATACGTGCGGCATATTTTAGGTAGACCTGTTATATGAGCCCATTTCCTTAATAAGTTAAATGTTAACTTAGGTATTCCTAACTGACGGATATTGGAAATACGGAATGTTGACTGATCTTCTGAATAGCTTATCGACGAATCCTTATTTTGGCGCCGGCTTTGGCCTTTTTGGAGTCGGAGCAGGTGCGGCGATTCTTCGCAAAGGCCTACAAGGGAGTATTGTATTATTCAGACGACATCTTATGATTACATTGGAAGTACCGTGCCGTGATAAATCGTATCAATGGTTGTTGTAATGGATAACAGCTCACGCTGCTCGTGACACGCAACACCTAAGTGTTGAGACTTCACTTGTGCAAAAAGAAACTGGAAAAATTAAAACCAAGTACGATTTCATTCCCAGCATTGGAAAACATTTGATGCGTTATAAAGGAGTGTGGATGCAGGTTGAAAGGTCGAGAGAACAACAGACTTTAGATCTGCACATGGGCGTTCCTTGGGAGTCGGTAACGATAACTGCGTTTGGAAGAAACAAACAGCTTTATTTTGAAATGTTAGAGGAGGCTCGACAATATGCACTTCAAGCAACAGAAGGAAAAACCATTATGTATACGGCTATGGGCTCTGAATGGAGGCCATTCGGACATCCGCGAAGGCGCCGCCCATTGTCTTCGGTTGTATTAGATAAACAAATATCAATGCGAATTATCAGTGACTGCAAGGAATTTATTAACAACCCCCAATGGTATGCAGACAGAGGAATACCATATAGAAGAGGATATTTATTATATGGTCCCCCTGGTTGTGGGAAGTCAAGCTTCATTACTGCTTTGGCAGGAGAACTAGAATATGGCATATGTTTACTTAACTTGTCAGAGAGAGGATTAACTGACGATAGATTGAACCATTTATTAAATGTTGCTCCGGAACAGTCTATAATATTACTTGAGGACATTGATGCAGCCTTCGCGTCCCGTGAAGATGTGCAGCACCAAAAAGCATCCCTCAATCTAATTATGTTGTGCAGGTTGGAGTAACCAAACTCCATAGTTGTGATTTCAAAAGACTCATGAAACGTGAGCCATTCTTCTGGCAATCCCGTAAAGGTAGGCAATGGATATATCTTCTGGAGTGAATTCAAAATGGCGTCGACATTGGCAGAATTACCAAGCAGAGACTCTACGGCTTCTTTGGCAGAACCTTTCAGTGCATCCCTCAATCTCATTATGTTGTGCAGGTTGGAGTAACCAAACTCCATAGTTGTGATTTCAAAAGACTCATGAAACGTGAGCCATTCTTCTGGCAATCCCGTAAAGGTAGGCAATGGGTATATCTTTATGTGTGGAATGGACGTTGAGTTGTTGGCTGTGGAATTGTGGACGGACATTTCTGAGGTTACGGAAATTTGGTGAGTTGGTGCGTGAGATGGCGTATTCTCAGGATGTGATGGTAGCTGTTGCTGGCAAGATTGTGGCGGTTAATGAAGTGGCTGTTGTTGGCTTAATTGTGGCGGTTATTGTTGTGACGGTGTTGACTGATTATGCTGCAATGGATGGATGGTGGACTCAGAGTATGGCATTCATACTGTAATTATTAACTACCTCTGCGACTGCATCAGTATGAATGCTATTCAGACCCGCTTGATAGGCTTCATGATCTAGGGGCTCTCTCTTATATCGCTGGACCTCTCTCTCTAGATCGTGCAGGTCCTTCATGACACGCCTGGGTGGGGGAGTTCTATCCTCCATATGGTGGTTAGGGTGACTCCCACGATAACACCCAAGCAGGTATTGCAACGAAAGCATATGATTATGATGACGTAAGGGAAGAACCTTCGTCTCCTCATGTAAATGGTCCACAGGAGTCATGAGGAGGCACCTGAAACAGTTCTCAGAGCGGCATTCTGGCAGGTCTGAATGCTTTTCCACTGCGTTGCACTTGTATTCGCCGACCACACTGGAGCCGCATAGCTAACCACAGACCGACCTATCGCTTTATAAGAAGTCAACAAGGTTTCCTTATCCGCACCCCAAGTGCTGCCGGCTAGCGCCTTGAGGACCTTGTTCCTACTTTTTATTTTATCGCAAATAGCTGTGGCTTGCGCGGAAGACTTGAACATGCTATCGAATGTGACCCCAAGGATTTTGGGGTAGTTGGTGGTCGGAATTATATGCCCCTCGACCTGCACATTCAGCTGTGTTCTCATCTCCGCAGTCCATGTGGTAAATTGTGTGGCCGTCGATTTAGTGGCGGATATTTTCATATTCCTCGCGTGGAAAGGCTAATTGTGAAAACATTTGAGTGACTAATTGTTATGGCATTTGAATGGCGGTTTCTAATAATTGTCTCTTCATTTGCGTGGCTAATGTTGACTGTATTTGCGTGGCTTGTTGTAATTGCATTTGCTTTGAATTATCAAGAAATTGTGTTTGCATTGCCTGAATTTGTTTTTGCATCGCTGTTATTTGCATCTTCATTTGATTTTTTAAATCGCAGATTTCGTTTGTGGATTTGTAGGTTGTGGCTGGTGAATTTGTGGTAGTTTTTTTGGTAGTAGTTGAGCAAGCAGCTGATTTGTGTTATTTGTGCAAGACATACTGACCGAAGCTGTATTTTCAGGTTCGTTTTGGAGGCTGTCAGACGGCGTATTAAATTTTGGCGAATGAGCGATGGACATTTCGTAAGTGTCTGGATCAAAACGAGCTGGTGGAATTCTTCGGGTGCTTCGGCTGCTTGTTCTTCTTGACTCTCTCTCGTTCCGGAGAAAATCGGTATTCTTGTACAGCATTTTTTTTTTTTTTCAAAAAACCGTAAAAATGGAAAATGCACCCATTATGAGGTATATATCGATTTTGTAGAACCGGATAAAAGCCAGATTTTGTATTGAAAATTTTCGGATGAAATAACTAGGTATTTCCCTACGAAAAATTACTTTGCAGCAATCAGGTTCAAATAGTTACCTGTTATATAAAATTTAAAATGATCCATGCAAACCTTTAAATCTGACTTGCTTCAAAATTATTACTGACAATGAGTTGTTTGTTCTTTAACAAATTTCAAATGTTTTTCTTCATAAATTGTTTACAATGTCACAACTTTCTTGAGTTCGCTGTCCTTTCAAATCGCTTAATAGTTATGTAAACTCTTGGCACATTGTGGCACAACTACAGAAGGTAAAAAAAGCTACCTCCAAAATATTTTTTTTCTATTCTATCAAAACATTTACACAGTTTGTATGTGTGTGTTGTTTTGAATAAATAAAAAAATATGAATTATTTTCAAATCTAGGCAACAGATAATAATTTTTATAATTTTTGGATAAAATAAAAATTTCCCTCTATCTTCGATTGAATTGAAATTTGTGAAAATAATTAAAAAAAAAAAAAAACAAAACAATGTTGCATATTCAAAAATTTTATTTGACACAAGACGACTTAGATACAAAGTCCCATTTTCCTAGTTTCTTTGCAGTTAGGAATCTTTTTTTAATTAGCCATGATACATGATTTCAGGTAAGTGCATCAACGCTTGGGGACTTGGGATTTTTGCAAATTTGAATAATTTTTCATTAAAAAATTTTAATACCATAATTGGTTTGACAGTTCATTGTCCCAGCAGCTGTGTCAATACATCTACCTCATGGTAGAAGAATATAGGTAGACGCGTCGACACAGCTGCTGGGACAATGAACTGTCAAACCAATTTTGGAATTGATAATATTGATAGAAAAATTATTCAAATTTGTAAAAATTGTTGAAAACGCGAATAAGTAGTTTTTCGATAGTTGTGATAGTTATTGGCCTAATGGCTTTTTCATCGCAACATATAAATAAATAAATGTAATTATAATAACCTCCGAATGACGTCGTGTAAGAAAGCATAAAAATCTACTTATATTTGCAAAAACATTTGCATTTTTTGACATATCAATGTTCCCAAGAGTGCATCTACCTGTATTCTTCTACCATGGTCTACCTGTATTCTTACACCATGGTAACATGTAACTGTGATTCATGACAGTTGTGTGTGAACACTTCGTACACATACGTGCGGCATATTTTAGGTAGACCTGTTATATGAGCCCATTTCCTTAATAAGTTAAATATTAACTTAGGTATTCCTAACTGACGGATATTGGAAATACGGAATGTTGACTGATCTTCTGAATAACTTATCGACGAATCCTTATTTTGGCGCCGGCTTTGGCCTTTTTGGAGTCGGAGCAGGTGCGGCGATTCTTCGCAAAGGCCTACAAGGGAGTATTGTATTAT